GGAATGATTTCCAGTGATACCTCTCTCTGCTGGGGAGATGGCTCTGGCCAAGACTTCATCTCCAGGAGAGCAGGACTGAGAACTTCCAGGGAACGCAAACCGCAAGAGGAACCCATTAGGTCTACACCAAGCGGCTGCTCGGCCAAGGCCTGGCTTTTATCGAACAGCAGTGAACGCTCCAGAGCGAGCCAAGAGGAAGCAGCATCTCAGCTCGGGAACTCTGCCTGCCACGTCCCAGCAGGCTGGCAGGGTTAGGAACATCCTGGCCATGCTGCCTGGACCGAGTCTCATCTGCAAGCCAATGATTTCAGCAAACGGGTTAAGCTCTCCGTGAGAGAAGTAGATAGCGCTGTGAGCAAGGACAGGGGAACAAACACCACGAGTGAGACCCTGACTTCAGCTCAGGCTTCCCACCAGCAGCCCGGATCCAGCCGGCAGAGGTGCCCGTGGCCTAGACTGGGGTAGTAGGCTCCCCCAGTCACAGCTTCCAGTGGACACCAGTGTTCAATGCAGGACAGTGGAGCTTTGGCCACAAGCACTACTGAACAGAAATCCCAGGGTGAGCAGGACATAAACAAACCCCTTCTTGCAAGCTGCCCTCGTAGATCTGCTCCCCAGTTACAGTCGCCTTGCCCTACCTGCGTCTGTGAGCCCACAACGGTTTTACCTTGTCTACATTTCTCTGGCTTTTCTAGACACACCCCTGCATCAGGACGCTCGCCTGTTCTGCCAGGAAGCCAGCCAGGCCCTCCGTTTCCTCTGCCACTCCAGCAGATAGCTTTGCTGACCAGCTCAAAGCTGGGACACGCGCATTTGAGAGGACAACGATGCGCAGATACAGGTAACACGCGTGCAAATACCAACAGCCGGACCGGGGAACAGGGGCTCCACACAACACGTTTGCTGCGAGCAGGAACAACTGTACCTTCCAACACCGGTCTCAGGTTCTACTCTACAGATCCCTTGGGCCAAACTTGGAGGTGGCCTAAACCTTTCTAGCTCTTACAGTGTCTGGTGGCTTCTGGTGAGGTCTGGTGTGGCTCCCGTTGGAGGCTGCAGGCACTGGGCTCGTGGCTTTGGCATCTTCTGGAGTTACACTGCTCCGCTTCTCAGTGCGAGTCCTGGCACGGTCTCGTTTAGCTTCTTTGTTGCTGGAAATCACGTAGCTGACTTCTTTGCTGAGGAAGCTTTCAGTCACCTGCAGCAAGAGACAGAACAGAGCGGCTCTGAGACTGTCCAGCTCTGAGCTGAGACAACTGCTACCTTTAGCTTAACCCCACAGACAGCTCAGGGGCTGCTGGAAGCACTCAGCTCTACAAGCAGTTCCTGCTTCCATGCCTCACTGCTGTCTCCCAGAAGGAGAAGAGATCCTGCCATGCGTGGAGAGCACACGCCCTAGAGATACACTGTAAATAGCCACCAGAACCTTCAGACTGAGACTTCCATGATGGTGTCTACCATCATCTACTCCTCAAGCAATGGTTCCAGAAAAAAGCAATAGCTGAGAAAGAGGCCCTGGTCGTCATCGTTGTGGAAGAGCTCTGCTCTCAGGAGCACAGAACACATTTTAGCAAAATAAAGTGGCAAGCGAACAGCTGGGACAAGCAGCTCCGCACAGAACAGCGCAGCAGGGAGCTAGAAAGCCAGAACACACACCCACCCCTTTGTACAGAAGCTAGAAGTCTGGGGAAGAGATGGAGAACCAAACCGTGGGATACCAACAGCAAGCTCGTCAGAAACCCCCCAGAAAGCAGAGAGTCACGGGGCTCTAACGCACGGGTGCGAGGCCCGCGGGGAGACAGAGATCTGAGCAGTCTGAAATCGCTGAACAAGCCGGTTCTGCTGCGTCACAGAATCCCTGGGGATGGAGATCCCGGCCCCACCGGTGTGGGGTGGCACAAGCAACACCGCCGGCTGCCCTGCAACGGTCACTTGTGTTACGGGAGGTCGAGGGGGCTGCAAGCACAGAAGAGAGGAAATCAAAATCTGCCCGTCCAAATAACGCTCCAGGGTGTCACCACCCCTACGTCAAGGCTCAGTTCCAGACACCACACACGAGTCCAAGGCCATCAGATGCCCTTAACTCGGTCCGGGACAACCCGCAGGACCTGGGTGTGGACATTGCCACTGAAGAGCTGTTTTATGGACGGTGGCCACGGTGTAGTTGCATTCAGCATCTCCACAGGAACAAGAGGCACGAGAACTCTGCTCCCAGTGGATCCCATTTCAGAGGGAAGCGAGCCAAGATGACGGTTGATAAGAAACTACAGGGACAGTCAAAAGGCTAAAATTATTTCCTAGTCATGTGGCAGCTACGTAGAGAAATAACTGATCGCTGGGAGCAAGCGGTTCTCGAAGATGCACAGCTAAATAAGAGATGCCACAAGAAGCATGTCCCTGAGGGCTGGTGGCACATCCAAGCCGAGGACAGAAAGAAGTTGGCAAGCTCAGCATGAAGGTGCCATTAAGACAAGGGAAAAGAGCGCACGCCAGCTTCCTGACACGTCTTCACAGCCAACGCGTGACCCTGGCGGCAGAGACACCGCAGCAACGAGATCTAAAGGAAGACTTTGCACCTGCATGTAGCGTGGCAGGATTTCGGGAAGTTGTGAGGTGCACATGAGATGATCTGCCTCAACCAGAGATTAAACGGTCTGAAAACGAGCAGTAACAACCACGAGGACTAAACCCTCCTTGTGAGTCGCAGCGGAGCTGAAAGATGAAGCGGAGGAACGACCAGCTGCTGGGCACAGCCCTGTCCTCAGCGCCAGCCCGGGAGGCCGAAGCGACGCTGCTTTTTGAAGGGCCTGTAAGGAACTGGTGAGCAAAACCGGCCCCGAGGAGATGTGGAAAGGCCACGCAGAACGCCGTGCAAATCCCCCAAACACCGGCTTCACGGGGGAAGGGTCCAGAGGGCTTTCTGGGGAAAGCCTTGGGGAAAAAACACAGCCACAGCACAGAAGGACCTTGGCCGAAATCCCCCAAACACCGGCTTCACGGGGGAAGGGTCCAGAGGGCTTTCTGGGGAAAGCCTTGGGGAAAAAACACAGCCACAGCACAGAAGGACCTTGGCCGGCGTTACCCTGCCTCCCCCAGTGCTGGATGCCAGGAAACGCCTGCAGTCCCACAGCCTCCCCGGAAAACTGCGCTGCCACGGGCTGCTGCGAGGGGCCGGGGGGAACCAGGCAACCAGAGACCACCGCCCAGCAGGCACCCCACCGCCCGCTGACCGCTCAGCGCCCGCGGGAAGGGGCTCCCAGGACCAAGCC